CTGAAAAAGATGATAATAACCTTGCCACTGTCCAAGGAATGTGCTTAGCCAAGGCTGAACAAAAATCTTGTCTGGAGTCAAACACAAATGGAAAACAAAACAAAACACTCCCCCTTTTGTTAGTTTTACATTTTATTGCTCATGTGTCTGTGGCTCACCTATGATTTCAGCTGATTTAACTCCAAGTCAGATGAAGGGCGCATGGAGTTCTGGCCCGTGCGTCTAATTCTGCTCAAGAAACATTCTAATAGATGTGTTTTTCACTAACAAATATTGGTAATTTCAAGGTTACAATTCAGTGTTCCTCAGAACTATTACAGCAAACTTCTGAATGGTTTAGGAAAGTCTGTTAGTTTCCTTAGTTAAAAATGAAAAAAATAGTGAAGACTGAAATTTACTTTTTTTTTCTGGAGAGGTTTTCGCTATAGGGCGTGTGTGCTTGCCAGACAGACAGAGAGAGACATAGAGACAGAAAGTGAGAAATCACCCCCCAGGGGGGATGGCCATGCCACAATCTCTTCTCCTCCATTCTCCTCTCAGGATCTTGGGCACGCATGCACACGCATCCGGCGTGAGTTCTAAGCCACTGGGTCTGGGACACGAACCACGGTCGACTACGTGGGAGTCCAGCGACAGAGCCATTACGCCAACCGCTGGTTCCCTGAAATTTACTTTTTGACAGCAAAAATAAGTATGGATCTACCTTAAATTTTATGAGACTCAGTATGTAGATATTTACCAACTTAGAAAGAAAGATTTATTTTATTTATCATTACTATTTTTAAATTTGCTATAGGGCACGTGCACTCACCAGGAGGGACAGAGAGCCACCAGGTCCAGTACTGGAACTGCAGTCTCCCTTCTGGCCCCTTACTCATTAACATTCTTATCTTGTTGTTTTGTTGATAGTTTGCTATAGTGTGCATGTGCTTGAGAGAAAGGGAAAGTGAGAAATCACTCTCCAAGGAAATGGCCACCTTGCAGTCCCTTCTCCTCAGGACTTTTGGGCATATACATATGCCTGATGTGATTTTTCAAGCAGCTGGGTCCTGGATTCGAACTACACAGTCAGCCGTGTGGGATCCAGAACCTTAACCATCATGTCACTTGCTGGCTCCTTTCTTACCTTTTTAAACAAAAGATAATAGCTGTCCCAGCACTTGATGTTCTCAGTCTCCTGTGTTAATCAGTTCCTTGTTTATTTTATTATAGATCATTAGAGACCAGGGACCAGCAGATGGCACAATGGTTATGTCACTGGACTCCCATGTACTCAACTGTGGTTCAAGTCCTGGACCAGAAGCTTTAAACTCAAACGGGCGTGTGGGCACATGTGCTTGTGTGCCCAAGATCCCGAGAAGAGAATAGAAAAGAAGGGATAATCATTCTCCCTGGGAGTGGTTTCTCACTTTCTGTCTCTCTGTCACTCTGTCAAGTGCATGACCCTATAGCAAAAAAAAGACTAAAAAAAAAAAATACACACACACACACATATACATATATATATATATTTTTTTTTTAATCACTAGAGGCCAGACAGTGGTGTGGTGGTAAAACACAATGCTCCATGAGGATGACCCACATGGGGAGGTACCAGGTCCATATCTGGAGACCTCCCTCAGTATAGTGGGCATGTGCACGCCCACGAGCTGGAGCTGGCTAAGGCTGAGGGTGGATCGTGGCATCAAGACCGTGTTGAGGATTCTCTATTTCTGTCATGGAATAAATAAATAAATGTAAAAAAAACAAAATCAAGAAGACAACTGAAAGGTATGGCAAATGGATTCTACTGTAGTTTTGCCTAAAGACCCATCATACCTTATTCCCATTGTCTAGGGGAGAGAAAGGCCAGAGGGTCATTTTGGACCGCAAAAAGCCATACTTAAAAGGAACCAAAGGTGTGAATGAACAGAAGCTTTAAGAGGGAATAAAAGCTAGAAGAAATGAGGCAAGCCAACCCACAAAAGAAACCGGAAAGCAGAGGGAAGGTCACAGTAGAACACTGGAAGGAAAACCCTGGCCTCTAGCTGCCTGGGGTGGACTTCCAGTCTGGCAGAGCCACTCTGAGGGCTGCTCCCAGATTCCCGCTCGCCACTCCCGCCTAGTCTCCCTCCCTGCCTCCACCCTGATCCCACCAACACTGCTTGCTTGAGTTAGTCTCTTTTTCTCTTCAGGAAAATAGAAACCATGTATTTATCAACTGCACTTTTTGTTCAACCTCAAGTTACCTAAAACCAAAGAAGGATTTGAATTTTTTTTTTTATCGTGTTAAAAAACGTGACATAAAAGGTACCATCTTAGCCATTTTTGAGTGTACAGCGAAGTGGCTTCAAGTTCATGCACAGTTTTACAGAGTCACCACCTCTCACCCATGGAACTTGGTTATATTCCCAACGCAAACTCTGTATCCATTAAAGACCAACTCCCTCCAGCCCCAGCAGCCCCCGATCTATTGCTGTCTCTGTAAACTTGACTACTCTAGGAACCTCACTAAGTAGAATCAAACAATACTTGTCCTTTTGTCACTGGCTCATTTCACTTAGCCTCATGTCTCCCAGATTCATCCACATAATAGCATGTGTAAGAATTCCCTTCCTTTTAACAGCTGAGTAGCTCTGCATGGAATGTACCCTCCACATTCTGTTTATCCATTCATCTTTAGAACGTGGGTTTCCAAGTCGCTCTTCAAGTCCTTGTTCTCACTCCCTTTGGGTGTATGTCCAAAAGTGGAATGCTGGATCCTATGAGAGTTCTATACTGAATCCTTTAAAGAATTGCCCCATTTTTTTCTCTACAACGGCTGCACCATTTTGCATTTGCACCAACCAGGCACCAGCGTTACAAATTTTCCACATCCTCATCAACAGGTGTTATTTTCTGTGTTTTGGAGAGCAGCCCTTCTAATGGCTACAAAGTGGCCAAAGGTAATTTTGATAAAGAAGTGCACTACCTGAATTGGAACTAGAACCAGAATGGAGGAAGTCTCAGGGATGTATTTCTGGTAGCCTTGATATCTGCTCCTCTCTACACAGCGTTGTTTAGTTTTCCAGCTGTCCTGACTGGATTTTTCAGCGGACTTAGAGTTTCTGCCCTCCTATCACTTTGGTTTGCCTGTGGCCTGTTGTGGCACCTCCAGCTCTCTCTATCTGCTGTAACTGCTTGAACATCTTTTCTGCTTTAATACCCACTCAGGACTCCTTTGGGACACTTAGTTTCCTGAGGCTGAGTTAATGATAGCGGGCTCTGGTTATTCTGATGCACAGTCATGACTACAGACTGGGCCAACAGTGAGCTAAAGCCGGGCCTAGGTGACCAGCTCTGGCTTGATCAGAGTGACCAGAAGCCTGGAATCACTTTGAGAAATGACTAATGAGAAACCAAAGACAGAATATATGGAAGATCCCCTAAAAAGGAGTGTGTGTGTGTGAAAGAGAGAGAAAGAGAAGTGGGCCGTGGTTGGCCTATACTGTATGGTGTCCTTAATCAGAATTTCCGTTGTTCAATACATTCATCTACCAGGACACATTTACGATATAGGAGGTATCGGGCTGACATTTTGAAGCACTTATACTGTAACCAGCACTAGGTTAAGAGACCATTCTACTGTGGGGTAATAACAGAATGATTACACTCAATGATAATGGAATGCCTAAGGATTTTGCAATCTGCTTAGAGAAGAGACATATATCCCCATAAAAATTTAAATTGCAATACAAAATACCAATGATAAAGAAGCTATACCTGGCCAACAGGTGGCCTGGTGGTTAGGTGTTGGACTCCCCCATGCATGGCCAATAGCCCTTTGAGTCCCAGACCTGGTGGCTTGCTTTCTCATTTTCTCTGTCTCTCTCCAGTAAGCACGCATGTCCTATAGCAAATTAATAATAATAATAAATCAAACTAAGTAATATTTTTGAAAAGATGCTTTATGTAATTTTCTGATCAGCTCTGTAGAGTGACACAGACAGAGCTGTGCATTCTGGTGGAATACTTTAAAGAGAAATGATCTGAAAAGTCTCTATGGAGGACTTAATCTGGGATTTTAAGGATGGGCAGGTTTCAGATAGGAAGGCCAGAGAAGACAATGGATTATTGCATAGATAAGTTTATCATATGCTTACTTGTGACTGGAGTCATGTGCTCTGTCCTAGGACTTGGAGAAATAATGAATAAGACAGTCCCTTCAAGGAGTTTCTAATCTAGAAAGGGATGAAGTCGATAGGGAGTTACAGTTTGCATTCAGGTGGGAAAATGATCCACTATGTTTCCAGCAAAATCTAGCCCTTGTTCTCACCATCACAAGGAGTTGGGGTAAGCGCCTAATGTCTGGCAGTTAAGGCAGCCCTTGCAGGTCACACTGGTCCTGAGCAAACTCATAGAAATGGCCGTCAACCCTGCAGACAGGATAGACAAGCAGATGACCAGAAGGTCCCAAGTTCACCATACTACTCTCTTCCCTGGATCAATCTCATTTTCTGACTTACTTACTATTCCCTATCAAATAGAGAAACCCTCAAGAGAAATTAGAATATACTCTTACCACACAGACATGCTTTTTGTTTCCATTTGATTTAGTTTCTTCTTTTTAAAACCAGAAACCATGGGAACCAGCAGTTAGCGTAATGGCTATGTCGCTGGACTCCCACGTAGTCGACCGCGGTTCACGTCCCGGACCCGGTGGCTTAGAACTCACATTGGGCACGTGTGCGTGTGTGACCAAGATCCCGAGAGGAGAATGGAGGAGAAGGGATTGCGGCATGACCATCCCCTCTGGGGGTGTGATTTCTCACTTTCTGTCTCTCTTTCTCTGTCTGTCTGGCGAGCGCACGCGCCCTATAGCAAAAACCTCTCAAAAAAACAAACAAACAAACAAACAAACAAAAAACCAGAAACCATTGGCTCACTGTAACACTGAGTGCTGAAGAGTTAGTGCCTGCTTGCTCTATCATTAATGCTGAGCAAGCACTCTGTCTCGAAGAACCCGAGTTTTAATGACTCCGGAGGGCTTAGTAAAAAAAAAAAAATTAAAAACTAAACAAAAAATCTTTAGTTAACACCACATAACATCATCCTCAGGTCCTGTGCCAGGAAGGTCTTAACCTGCCTTCACATTTGATAACCTTGCTTCAGTCCTGGCTTTCTGAGTAGTAAAGTATAAGTTGTTGGCTTGTCGAAAAAAGAACTGCTTAGTTAAACAGCAAAACAAGCCCCCCCCCTTTTTTTTTTCTTAAACTGTATTTACTATTTTGGGGGTGTTTTTTGCTTGCTTTTTGGGATTTTTTTTTTGAGGAATTTTTGCTGTAGGGCACATGCGCTTGCCAGAAAGATAGAGAGAGACAGAGAGACAGAAAGCGAGAAATCACCCCACAGGGGGGATGGCCACGCTGCAATCCCTTCTCCTCCATTCTCCTCTCGAGATCTTGGTAGCACACGTGCCCGGCGTGAGTTCAAGCCACCGGGTCCGGGACGTGAACCGCAGTCACCTACATGGGAGTCCAATGACATAGCCATTACGCCAACTGCTGGTCCCTGTATTTACTATTATTTTAAAAATTTTGCTACAGGGACCAGTGGCTGGTGGGTAGGGGGGAGAAAATAAGCCGCCAAGTCCAGGACTTGAACTGCAGTTGGCCATGTGGGAGTCCAGTGCCCCTACCACCACACCCCCATCTTTGATACAAAATCACTGCCCTTTTCCTAGGAAGATCTAGGAAGATAATTCCCAGGGGACTCATGTCAGGGCAGCCTTAGCAGAAAGGCATCTGCCCTTGTCCTGTGTAAGCTCGGGGACTGGGAAGGGCAATACGGCAGACAGCCTGTTTATTTCATTGCCATTACAGAGTGATGAGGTCCTTACCGTCACCTTCTCCTCAAGCCGTATAAATCCCTATAAGGGGGCAGTGGCATCAGATCATACATTTAAATTATTTTCAAAGATGTCAAGCAATTTCAACTTCTTTAATACAGTAACCTCTCGAAGGAGTGATAAATCTCTAAGCCGAAGAGAGGCTTCCCCTTGCAACTTTTAGCTGGGAAAGACTGATTACATATTTAAGCTTTGGAGCTGTGTAAAAGCTTTGTTAGGCAAATCAGTGACCAAAACATCTCTCCCAGCCCCCAAATCTACAGCATCTATTTGCCTATGAGGAATTTTCTAGGACTCTAAGAACAGACTTCTTAACATCATCAGTCCTTTGCTTAGCATCTGGGGAGCCAGGGGCTTGACTGAGCTGAGGCAGACTTCTCACTTCAACAAGCCTCTGTAATGGAAACCCAAAGGCCTAGAAACAATGCACATAACTTCCCTAATTTTATTATGCAGACACACTTAATGACTCCTGTTACAATCCCAGCTGGGGTGGGAAACAGTACCGGATTGCCACGATCACACTAAATCGACAAGGATTATCAGTCATTAGAAAGGGGCCAAATTAGCATCAAGCAGTAATATTTTATACTTATCAAATCTTCGGCTGGTCAAGGCCCATTACGGTATGACGCCGTAAAGGCAGACGCCGTCAGCTCATCCGCCAGAACATTTAAATCTCCATTGTATTTGTGTAGGATGTAATTTCTGATAGCAATAAAGCCTCATAAAGGTTACACCCCAATGAATAAGGTGTTAATAAATTGACCCATGGCATTTAAATGGATCATTATATTTGCGATAAAGGAAGAATCTCTCGTTTCAGTGATGAAGAAGCATTTCGAATTGTGCCCAACCCAAATCACCCATCACTACAGGATGGTTTTAGATAGCTTTACGGTGATATAAAATATTTATAGTACTGGCTACCATTGTAGTAGATGAATTATTCATCAGGCCTTCCTAACAACTCTTGTTTATCAGAATCATCAAAATGAAATTTAAACCATTTTCACTTGTTAGGGACCCGATAGAAATTAACTCTCACTTGGATTTGTAAACATGGGCTTGAAAAGGTTTTAGCCTCCTCTCAACTCCCACCCCAGCCCCAGGGTGGCAGCCTGTCACTAGACGTTGGTTGTCTTCACAGGACGCAGCAGCGTAAAATGGAATCAGGAAGTGATGAGAAGGAGGATGTGACAGGGTAGATCTAACTGGAACATTTCTAGTAAGTTATGAGCCGGTGTTTCTCAGCTCTCGTTACAGAACCAGCGCTGCGGACTGTTCACAAAACTTCCCAGGAAACACAGAGCAACACATGTGCTGCACAGACTGCAGACATGGCTACCCTTCGGTTTCTTGGTTAAGGCTTCTCCTCTATATTTCTTGTACTGTGTTAGGCTCGGTAAAAGAAGATTCTGGGACCAGCAGATGGCATAATAGTTACATCACAGAATACCCATGGAGTCGACCACGGTTTGAATCCCGTACTCGGCAGCTGAAAATTCACACTGGGTGCATGCAGTGTAGCCAAAATCCTGAGTGGAGAATGGAGAAGGGATTGCAGCATTGCCATACCCTCCAGGGGTGATTTCTTGCTTTCTGTCTGTCTCTCCAGCAAGCATTCATTACTCTATAGCAAACTCTCTCTTATAAACAAACAGCTATGGAGAATAGCTACAAAGGAATGACACTTACTTCAATTTACAGCTTCTTTTCCCGCAGCAGTAACATGATCTGGAAGACAATGGAATGATCTGATGATCTGAAAGAAAAAAATTAAAATAAGAAGTATAGCCAACAAATTATCTTCCAGATACAGGGCAATTTTTATATCAGCAAAAAACACAGTTTTCCACCAAACGGTTATTAGGAAAAACAATTATTTTTTCTATTTTAAAAATTTTGTTAGGGCTAGTCGGTAGCATAGTGGTTAAGGTACTGAACTCCCATCTGGTCAATCACAGTTCAAGTCTCAGACCTGGCAGCTAGAAACTCAAGCTGGGGGCATGTGCTTGTGTGCCCGAAATCCTGAGAGGAGAACAGAGGAGAAGGGACTGCAGCCTGGCCATCCACCCCGGTGGGGGTGGGGGTGATTTCTCATTTTTTTTCTCTCTCTATCTCTCTGGTAAGTGCACGTACTCATAGTAAAAATCTCTCTCTTAAAAAAAATCGTTACGGAGTATATGCATTTACCAGAGAGAGCGAGAGCAAGAGCACGCACACCCCAAAGGGCAGGGCACACTGCGATCTCTTCTCTTGGAATTTTGGGCATGCATACATGTGCCCAGTGTGTTTTTCAAGCCACTGGATCAGGGAATCAAAATGAGTCACTGGCCATGTGAAATCCAGCCCACTGTCTCTACCATGTCCCTGGCTGGCTCCCAGGAAGGAAAATTCTAATCGATATCCTACAGGAAAAAGAAAAAGTATCTCAAATATTAGTTTGACATTCAAAGAAAAAAGATTAGTACTGGGACCAGCAGTTAGCTTAATGGCTATGTCATTGGACTCCCATGTAGTAGACCGCAGTTCAAGTCCTGGACCCAGTGACTTAAACTCACGCCGGGTGTGTGTGCGTGCGTGCCCAAGATCCCAAGAGAAGAATGGAGGAGAAGGGATTGCAGTGTGGCCATTCCCCCTGGGAGGTGATTTTTTGCTTTCTGTCTCTCTCTCTCTCTCTGTCTTCCTGGCGAGAGCACACGCCCTATAGCAAAAACCTCTTCAAAAGAAAAAAGAAGAAAGAAAGATTAGTACAGAAATTGATAAATACAGGTAAAACCAAATGAAAATTTATTTTATAAAACAATTTTCTAATGTGTAGACTTGATAAAATATATATATAATTAAAACTTAGGAAGAAAATAGAAAATAAATTAGGATGGGGATGATAAAATTTAAAATATCAGGCCAGCAGCCAACAGGTGGCATGGTAGTTAAGGTGCTGGACTCTGACATGGTTGCCCATGGTTCAAGTCCTGGACCAGGCAGCTTCAAACATGCAGGGGATATATGTATGCATGTACACCTAGAATCCCAGGAGGAGAATGGAGGAGAAGGTATTGTGGCATGACCGTTTTCTCCAAGGGGTGATTTCTCACTTTCCCTTTCATTGACTCTCTGTATCTCTCCAGCAAGTGCACGTGGTCTATGGCAAAAATCTTTTAAAAAAAAAAAAATTAAAACATCTAAGTTCCTTTTATAATTTCTGAGAAGAGTAGAAAATATTAACCTTTCCCTTATTGGTGACAGCGCATGTTGGCTGTTGGCCTCATATTGTCTAGCTTCTAGGACACCCACATTCCGTGGCTCATGCCCTGTCACATTCACACAGCAAAGGCAAAAGCTGCTCACAGCTCATCTCTCCTGTCTCCTCTTGGGTCACATCTCAGATTACAGGAGACATTTCTTCTTCTTTTTTTAAACTTTTTTTAAATTTTTTTTTTTTTTAAATCTTTGCCATAGGGCACATGCACCTGCTTACAGGAGAGAAACAGACACACAGAGAGGGAAAGTGAGAAATCACCCTCCAGGGCAGAATGGCCACACCACAATCCTTTCTCCTCCACTCTCCCCTCAGAATCATAAACACACACAAAGAGCATGTTTTTCAAGCCACCGGGTCCAGGACTCGAACTGCACAGTCAGCCATGTGGGATCCAGTGCCTTAACAATCACGCCACCTGCTGGGCCCAATTTCTCATTTTAAGAGCTCATGTATCTGGACTGGGCCCACTTGGATAAACTGAGTAACTGCCCCCATTTCAAGAACTGTAACCGTGAGAACACCTGCAAAGTCTTTTTCTTTTTTTTTGGAGAGGTTTTTTTTTTGTTTTTTGTTTTTTGTTTTGTTTTTTTGTTTTTTTGCTATAGGGCGCGTGCGCTCGCCAGAAAGACAGAGAGAGACAGAGAGACAGAAAGCGAGAAATCACCCCCAGAGGGGATGGCCACGCCACAATCCCTTCTCCTCCATTCTCTTCTCGGGATCTTGGGCACGCATGCACATGCGCCTGGCGTGAGTTTTAAGCCACCAGGTCCAGGACGTGAACCGCGGTTGACTACATGAGAGTCCAGCGACATAGCCATTACGCTAACTGCTAGTCCCATCTACAAAGTCTTTTGACAAGTACTGTAATGTATTCACTGTCCCAGGATTTGGGCATCGGCCTCTGGGGGAAGCCTGTTGTTCTGCCTGGTGTACTTTCCAAACTTGCACAGAATACACATAGTTGTACTCCACATGATCATAGAGCAACATACAAAATGCACATTCTGTGACCAAATACAAAAGGGGTTTGCCTTGTAGCACAGTGGTTAAGTGCTATGCATTGGGAATCAGAACCCACGTGGCCAATCAAGGTTTGAATCTGGCCCTGGCAGCTTGAAAAACATGCTGGGCACATGTGTGTGCATGCCTAAGATCCTGACAGGTAAGAGACGTGAAGGAAAAAGGTTGTGGTGGGTGTGACCACACCCCATTGATGGGTGCTTTCTCTCTCTCTCACCCACCTTTTGGCAAACAGGCACCATTTAGTAATAAAAATAAAAAATAAAAAACTTACCAAACAAAACAAGCACAACAAAAGGATGACAGAAAAATCCAAATGTTTAGAAATGAAGACTTTTGAGTACTCATGGATCAAATAAGAAATCAATAAGAAAATATTTACAGTAGAATAGCTAAACTAATCCACACCCAAACTTTTGGAGTACAAGCAAAGCAGTGCTTAGAGGAGAAGTCACAGCTTTGAATGGACAGAGGAAAGCTAAAAATTTCCTCAAGTTATCAATTCTTTCAAAATGATAAGAAAAGAAGGAACGGGAGACAAGCAGATGGCATAATGGTTACGTCGCTGGACTCCCATGTAGTCTACTGCGGTTCAAGTCCCAGACTCAGCGGCTTAAACTCATGCTGGGCACATTTGTTGGGCAGCGTGCCCAAGATCCCGAGAGGAGAATGGAGGAGTAGGGATTGTGGCGTGGCCATCTCCCCTGGGGGGTGTGTGTGTGTGTGTGATTTCTTGCTTTCTGTCTCTGTTTCCCTGTCTTTCCAGTAAGTTTGCACACCCTAGAGCAAAAATCTCTCTTTGAAAAAGAAAAAAAGAAAAGCAAAGGAAGAGCAGAATAAATAGCAGATATGGCCAGCAGATGGTATGGAGATTAACGTGTTGGATGCACATGGCCAGCTCTGTGGTTTGAATCCTAGGCCCCGTGACTTAAAAATCACTCCAGAGGACCAGCAGGTAGTAGTTAACATACTGGACTCTCACATGGCCCAGTGCCTTCAAAATTGCACTGGGCGCATGTGTTTTCATGCCCAAAATCCAAAAAGGAGAATGAAGGACAAGGTTTTGAGACGTGGTCATGCCTCCTGGGGTGGGGGTGGGATGATTTCTCACTTTCCCTCTCCTAGTCTCTCTCTAGTGAGTGCATGTTCCCTATGGCAAAAACTCTCTCTCAAAAAAACAAAAACAAGGGGAACCAGCAGTTAGCGTAATGGCTATGTTGCTGGACTCCCACGTAGTCGACTGCGGTTCGTGTCCCAGACCCGGTGGCTTAAAACTCACGCCGGGCGGGTGTGCGTGCGTGCCCAAGATCCTGAGAGGAGAATGGAGGAGAAGGGATTTCGGCGTGACCATCCCCCCTGGGGGGTGATTTCTTGCTTTCTGTCTCTATGTCTCTCTCTGTCTGTCTGGCGAGCGCACGTGCCCTACAGTGAAAATCTCTCCAAAAAAAAAAAAAAAATAGAAAAAAACAAAAACAAAAAACCAGAAAAACAAAAAACAATCCCTCCGGGTGCATGTGTGTATGTGCCCAAGATCCAGAAGGGAAAATAAATGGAGGAGAGATTACAGTGTGGCCATCCCCTCGTGGGGCAATTTCTCACTTTCTGTCTATCTCCGGTGAGTGCATGTGCTCTATAGCCAAAACAAAACAAAACAAAACAGACAAATGAAAAAATAAAGATGTTAGTAAAAACTAATGAAAGAGAAAAATATACAATAAAGAGGATCAACAAAGTGAAAAGATTTAAAAAAACACTGACAACCTTTATTGACCAAGAACAAAGTAACAGATGACATAAGTTTAATTTGCAATGAAAATTATGACACAAATACATTAGCATAAGAAACTTCAAAGATAACAACAAACACGATATTCAAGTATACACCAGTGCATTTGCAAAGTTGGATAAAATGACTAAACTTGTAGAAAAAGTAACAAAAAAAACTTAAAATTTTTTTTGAATAGTACTGAACACATTTGAGCACATTTGATGGTAGCTAAAGTCTATCTATAGAGGAAACACCAGAAAACAACATGAAAGAGTATCTTTATAACATCAGAGACAAACATTTCATATACAAAACATCAAAAACATACATCACATAGTGGAAAAGATTTATATATTTAAAGCTCTTTAAATTAAGAACTCCTTGGGGCCAGCAGGTGGTATGGTAGTTAAGGCATTGGATTACAATGTGGCAACTGCAACTCAAGTCCCAGACCTGGCTGCCTGAAAGCCACGCAGGGCCCAAAATCCCGAGAGGAAGAGAAAGGATACTGGCAAGGCCATTCTCCCTGTTGGGGGTGATTTCTCACTTTCCCCTTCTGTCTTTCTCTGGTAAGCACACATGCCCTATGGTGAGAGAGAGCGAACAAGCAAGCAAATGAAGAGAGAGAGAGAGAAAAGAAAGAAGGAAAAATGAACGAACCTCATGAAAGTCTCTGTAAAGTAGTGTAATGCAATTTATAAAGGATTAG